AAAAAGACATGTAGGATCATATGGACTAAAATTCTACTAGGGAAGTCATCCCAGGAGGAATGGGATATGCTTAAAAGTGAAATTCTGAAGACACAAAAGAGAAATCATTTCTGGTGAGGATGAAAAATGGGAGTTATTTAAAAAATCAGTGTGGGTGCACAGGGAACTAACCCAACCAACTTATATTTTAAAAAGAAATGTGCAGAAATATAGGAACAAGATTTGATCCTATCAAAGGTGCTAATGTTCAAGAACGAGCTGAGGCTGGTGGGGTAAAAAAAAGGGGATGAAAGAAGCAGTAAGACCTCTCTGCTTGGGGATGTTCAAGTGATTTAACCTCTATGACTGATTCATATAACTACTGAATGGTAGCTCAGTAACTGACAGCAGGGGAAGTAGTTGCTTAATATTTCTGTTTGACCCCACAGGGAAGAACCAGGAGAGAAAGCTTCAAAAAAGGCAAATTTGGGGTGGGGAGGGACCCTTTTATCACAATTACAACTATCTAAAAGTGGAAATAAGCTGCCTTGAAATTGGGTAGATCACCTGTCCCTGAAGGTCTTTCAGCAGAAGCTGGATGGATACTTATCAGGTTGTTAGGATACAGGACCCTTCCAACTCTTCCATTCTGTGATTTCGTGGAAAACAGTTGAATAAGAATACTCCCTTCATGACTTGATATGACATTACCCACAACGTTTTGACCTTGAGAAGAGAAGAGATATGTGTTTCTTTAATCTGTTCTCTAGGATCTTTATTGGTTTTTAGTTACTCAGAGTACAGCTGTCTTTTAGCAATGATTTCTTTCACATTGTTGTGGTTACTGTACATGGTGTTCTTGTCAGTTCGTATAAAACTTCCTCTTTCTCTACATTCCTCCTTTTTACCATTCATGCTGCTCTGTAATATTCCATGACATTTATGTATCCATCCCCTAATCCATGAGTACCCACTTTACTTCCTTTTCTTGGCTGCTACGAAAACAATACTCTTGTGAATATACGCTATATCCTTCTGGAGTGATTTGGCTCTATTTGTTCATCTCATGGCAAAAATAGTTGATCTTTTAGGTCAGGGCAACAGCCCTAGACACTTCATTGATTTTGTCTGTCTACCTATCTATTTTCATATATATCTATTACAGCCTAGACTTTAGCAGCTCGCTGCTGGGACTCTATTTGGATTTTGTTTCAGCGCTATCTATTTCAGTTGTTCACAAATCTCCAGTTCACCGGACAGCTGAGTAACTTCTACTTGTTTTTCAGCATGTGTTTGTTTATAGAGTGAATTGCTTAGAGTTTCATTCAGATAGCTTCTGTAATCTGTGACTTTTTTCTTCCCTAGGAAGCCTTGGTCTTTGAAGGAAAATGAAAAAGAATATTTAATATATAGTGTGAAATAATAACATATACACGCATAAATATATAACATAACATATAATACATATTATATAGCATAACATAAATATAGTCTGTGTGTATGTGTGTATACATACGTGCACACACACATACATGTAGATTTGTAAAGTTTCCTCACAAGAATCCTATTCTCATTTTACAGATGGGGAACCTAAGGATTAGTCATAAATGTTAAATCACTTGAACAAACGGTCAAAAATGAGTGTTAGAAGTAGGATTCACACCCAAGTCTCTTGACTTTAAGTCCTGTATTCTTTCTAGTATTTCTTCAACTATTTTAAAAATACATTTTTTTTTCATTTTCCTTCTCTCTCTTTTTCCTTGTATCCTATCTTTGCCTCCAACCTCTTCCCTCTAATGTGCCCCCTCCCCCCCAATCGTATGCTAGCCCCTTAGGGCCTATTCCCAGTTACCATGACAACAGGGGGACAATAACTGCTAACATCCTTAGCTTTCTGCCTTCTTACTTGGCCTTGCTTTTTCTTTCATATCATCTGTTCTAGTCTGTGTTGATGGCAATTCCTCAAGAATATATGTAAATGAGACTTTTTCAACATGAATGTTCCAATTGCTCGTGTTGCTACCTTGTAGTTTTAGAACTATTTGTAATCTTTTATTCACTTTTCCAGAGCTATATTCAGTCTTTCATTCATTTTTGTTCACATCCACTCACTTAAAATTTTATTTTTCTCTTACACCCATTGACAAGGGATATGTGTCTCTCCTGGTTTGGTTCCTTTTGTGAATGGCTGAGAGCCACCTCGAGTGTGGTGTCCCTCTTCTTCAGTCTAAACATGTCTTGACTCCCCCAGAGTCTTTGGTCTACGAAGTATCTTAGCAGGTTCTTCAGTTTACATTACTCACCCGTACACTGTTGTGTTCTAGCCAAAATGGCCTAATTTCTATGCTCAATATGGAATGTTCCATTTCCTACTTTTGCCCTTTGCATAGGCTTTCCCCAGGTCTAGAGTCCTCTCACTTGAGATCTCTCCTGCCACCTGCTTTCCTGAATCCCCTAGGGTAAAGCTACCACTTACCTTAAGGCCTTTACTGGTTCTGCTCTCTTCTTTCCAAAATAATTATTTTGTATGTATTTTATGGGGCAGCTAGGTGGCACAGTGGATAGAGTGCAAGGCCTGGAATCAGGAGCAGTGATCTTCCTAAGTTCAAATCTGGCCTCAGACATTAAATAACTGTGTGACCCTGGGAAAGTTACTTAATGCTTTTTGCCTCAATTTCCTCATCTGTAAAATGAGCTGGAGAAGGAAATGGCAAACTACTCCACTTTCTTTGCCAAGAAAACCCCAAATGGAATCATGAAGAGTTGGATGGGACTGAAATGAGTGAACAACAACAATAAATATATTTTATGTTTGTATATCTATCTAATTGTTGTTTCTCTTAGGAGAATGGAGTTGCGTTAAGGCATAGACTGTCTTCCTTTTGTCTTTTCCATACTGTTCCTCTTTGGCCATCATTCAGCAGCTTTTAATCATTTGAGATTTGCCATGCCCAAATTTATGACCCAGACAGATCCTGATGGCTGTTTTCTATGGGAATGCAGAAGTTAACTAATGAGTGGGTACTTCTTTCTCAATCAGTGGCCACAGCACATGTCTCATTGAAAAAGGCCTAATTATGCCCCAGTAGAAAGGGCCAAGACATATATTAATATCCATGGGAAGGACATCAATCAGAGCAGATCAGAAGATCTTCCTTAATTATCCTTCTTAGAGTAGGAAGGGACTACATCGTGAAGAGCTTCAAATGTTTTAAACAAAATTTTATATTTGATCATATAAGTAATAGAGAATCTCCGGAGCTTAAATAGTTGAGGGACATGATCAGATCTGTGCTTTAGGAAGGTCATTTTGGTGACTATGTGGAACATGAATTGGGGATAGTCTTCAGGCAGGGAGGTAATAGTCTGGTAAACAGGTAATGAAGGCCTGAACTAAGATGTGGCTTATGAGTTGAGTGAAGTATATGTCTGTGTGAGATATTATGGTAATAGAAACTATAAGATTTGGCAACTTATTGAATATGTCAGGTGAGGAGGGAAGAGTCAAGTATTGAAAGAATTGTGAAAATGATGTGAACCAAACAGACTCCATCTTGTAAAACAGACTCCATTTTGAGACTGAAATTTCATTTTTCTATAAATTCTACCTGCTTGCTAATTACGGGAATTGCGTGACGTCCTGTTTTACGTCTGGGAAAGTATACCTGCTCCTTTTCCCGTCTTCCAACTCCCAAAACTTGCTTATCTTCCCCCCATCCCAACTCAGAAATTCCCTAAGCTTAGAAATCATATTAACTAATCTTGTATCCTGGTTTATATCCTCTTGTTTGCTTTTAATGCATAAAAATCTGTTTCCCCCAGTATTCAGGGTCTAGTACTTGCTGGGGAGCCTGGTCTAGATTTGTTATGCAGCTGTGAGCCTTGCCAATAAATCAATATGCTTAGAAGCTCAAACCCTTGTTTCATGAGTTATTTCAGATGTCACTCACAACAGGATGACACTATGGTTTCAAGTCTAGGTGTCTGGAAGGCTGGTTGTGTCCTCAACCTGAATAGGCAAGTTTGGAAAAGGAGTGGGTTTTGGCAAAAAGATAGTGAATTCTGTTTTGGGACATGTTGAGTTTAAGATGCCTATGGGACATCCATCTCAAAATGTCTGATGGGCAGATTGAAACCTATTTCATTTGGTTGACTACATGTTTGTAACAGTGGTTTTGTTTTTCTTGCTTTTTCAACAGAGGTTAAAGGTAGGAGGGAGAAAAAACAGGTATTTGTTTGAAAATGAAGCAAAATTTAATTTAAAAAAACCCAGAATAATCAGTAGATGGTTGGTGATGTGAGGCTGGAGCTTGAGAGAGATTTTAGGGTGTAGATCTGGGATTCATCTGCATAGAGATGATAACTGAGAAAATGTAAGATGGTGGGCTTTGGGATTGAACAGTGCACTAGAAACTTTCTAGTCTGACCTCTTTGTGTTATATACCAGAAAAAAAGCTCCCAAGAAATTGAGTGACTTGTCTAAGGTGACATATGTGCCTCCATCTGACACTGTCATTGTCACCATGACAAGGGAGATTCCAAGCTGTATCATGCCCACCACCGTCCCACCCTAAAACAGAACACATCTACCTCCAGTCCTCAGCCTCGCGCTCTGCATGCAGAGATGAGTTGACGGATGTGGGGCCAACTTTCTAGAAACCCTTGAGTTCCTCCTTTCAGGGTTATTGATGAGAATCAAATGAGAGAACAAAGGGAAAGCACTTTGCCAACCTTAAAGTGCTATTGAAGTGCCAACTGTCATTATGCTAGCTGTGTGACCCTGGACAATTTATTTAACCTGTCTCCCTAAACCTCAGTTCCCTCAGCTGCAAAGTGGGGATAATAATAGCACCTCCCTCCTCCCTCAAAGAGCTAGTGTGAGGATCAGATGAGATAGTATTTATAAAAAGTGCTTAGCATGGTGACAGACACATAGTAGGCACTTTATAAATGCTTGCTTCCTGGCTAGATGCTGATAAAAGGCAGTGGAATTAACTTCTCTGTTTCTTTTTTCTTTGCAGTACAAGATAGGACAACTGTACATGATCAGCAAACATAGCCATGAGCAGAGTGATCGCGGCGAAGGGGTAGAGGTTGTCCAGAATGAGCCCTTTGAAGATCCTAACCATGGCAATGGGCAGTTCACAGAGAAGCGAGTGTATCTCAACAGGTGAGTCCCAGCTGCTGTTTTCCCTCCTTCAGGGACTTCTTGATCAAATGTGAATATTCTTCTTGTTGTTGTTGTTGTTGCCTGTATTTTATTTTTTTAAAAAATGATTAATTTTTAGTTTTCAACACTCACTTTTGTAAGATTTAGAGTTCTACATTTTTACCCCTACTGCCCCTCCCCCTCCCCAAGACAGTATGGAATCTGATATAGACTATAAAATGGGAATATTTTTTAGGGAGCAACTCACACATAACCTGTTCTGGTCGAATTCAACTAGAGATACTGATTTCTAGGATAAACCATTTTCTGGGTATACCAGCTAAAGTACTTGCTGAATTTGATTTCTTAGCATATTGCAAAAACTTCTAAACTTTTATTTTACTTTGGAAGTTTTAGGATTGCCTTTTCTTGTTTCATGTTTGGCTAAGAATGAAGTCATCTCTGCCTTGCTGTCATCTTCCAGTTTTTCCAGTATTGGTTCCGGATACTGTTTGGGCACCAGCCATGCTCCTTGATTCTCCAATCTCATCTCCCCACCCCATCCCCCAATGAAAATGACATTAAGATTAAATCCTGTCTTAAATGTCACAGAACTTCTTTTTGTTCCTTCAGTCAAATGACAGCATTAAAAGGAGAGAAAATAGTTGGGCCTCCAATTTTTTTCCCTGGGATTTTAATTTTGAGTTTTTGTTTTTCTAAACTTGAGAAACATCATCAAACATGAACATTTGCATATACAAAGAACAAAAAAAGAGAATAATGTATGAAACAACAAATCTCTGTCATAAGCCTTTTCAAAAACTATGTAATCAAGTTAATTCCAAAACTGTTCAGCTTGTCTGGACTTCCTTGCATTCTTTTTTGAAAAATTCTTCTTTTTTCTTGGTATTACCATCACTAGTCTCCCCTCCAAAAAAACCAGAAACTTCCAACACATAACCATTGTCAAGCAAAACAAATCTAAAAATATTTTCTGCATGTCTAGAGTATTACATCTCTCTGAAGAGGTACCAAATATGCTTGAGCATTGTGAATCTTCAGGAGTTGTGATTGGTCATTGCATTGATCAGAATTCTTAAGTCTTTCCATTTTATTTTTCTTTTTCAACATTGTGATTGTACAAATTGTTCTCCTGGTTCTGCTCACTTCATTTTGCATCAGTTCATACAAGTCTTCTCAGGTTTTTCTGAAACTATCCCTGTGGTTATTTCTTACAGTGCAATAAAATTTAACCATTATACTTATAAACCATATTTTGCTCAGCCATTCCCCAGTTGACAGACACCTCCTTTAAAATTCTTTGCTATAGCAAAAAAAAAAATGTTCCTCTCAATAAAGTTATCTCCTTCCCTGTTCCTTTGTTTGGCTTATACTATGCTTTCTTACATCTAGGTCATGTATCCAATTTGTACTTATTGTGGCATATGGTATGAGATGTGGATATAAGTTTCCTTTCTCCCAAATTGCTTTCCAATTTTACTAGCATTTTTTGTCAGAAATTCTGACTCTTTTAGTATATGTCATTGGGTTTATTGAATGCTAAGCTAGTATATCTGCTTGCTTCTGGGTCTTCTGTGCCTCATTTCTTCCATTAATTAATCTTTCTACTTTTTTTAACCAGTATCAAATAGTTTTGATCATTACTGCTTTTGATAGAGTTTGAGAATGAGTACTGCTAGTCTCTCTTGCTTTTCAGCTTTCTCCTTCATTATTTCCTTTGATAATCAATCATTTGTTCTTTCAGATGAATTCTTTTTTTGTCTAGTTCTGTGAGGTGACCCTTTGGTAGTTAGATTGATATGGCACTGAATCTATATATTAAGTTACATAGTGTTGTAATTTTTATTTTATCCAATGAAATGAACCTGGTGTCAAACTATACTACAAAGCAGTAATGATCGAAACTATTTAGTGCTGGTTAGAAAACAGAGAGGTTTATTACTGTAAAGATTAGATTTGTAGAATGCAGAAGTATGAACACAGCAAGATAAGTCCAAAGACCCCAGATTAAGATTAAGAAATCACTATTTGACAAAAATGTATTAGGAAAATTGGAAAGTGTTCTGGAAGAATTAGACACAGACCAACACTTCACACTATATACCAAGATAAATAACAAGTGGATACATGACTTAGACATAAAGTGTGACATAAACAAATTAGAGGAGCAAGGATCTTTCATATTTATGGATGGGGGAAGAGTTCACAAAGGACAGAGAAGATCACAGAAGATAAAATCAACAATATTGATTATATAAAATTTGCCAAGTTTTGAACAAACAGAACCAATGAAGTTAAAAGGTAACTAGGAAAAAATCTGTATAGAAAGTTTCTCTGATAAAATTCTGATGTCCAAGATATATGGGGAATAGATTAAAACATAAAGAATGATAGACATTCCTAATAAATAGGGAAAAGGTTATTTTCCAAAGAAGAAATCTAAGGTATCAATAGCTATATGAAAAATGGTTCCAAATCATTAATAATTTGAGCAATGCAAAATAAAGCAATTGACATTTTGCCTCATGACTATCACATAGACAAAGGTGAAAAAAAGAAAAGGAATGGAAAATGACAGTTTTTAGCGGGATTGAGGGAAGTGTTAGGGAAGCTGTGAATTGGTCCAGCCATTTTGGAAAACAATTCAGAACTTTATCCAGAATGTCAGTGAGATTTTTCAGTACCACAGTGACCCTGGTCTATTGTCATCACATAATGAATGGTCTGTAGACCATTGATTTCTGGCAACACAATAATAATCTGAAAATCCTGATTACCCGTGTTTCTTAGATGCCAAAATGATACATCCTCCCTCTTCTAGGCCAGAGCAGAGGCTGGTCTGGTGCTTCAGGTTTGTTGTCAAAATGAAATGAGACACTTGTAGATCATCTAACAGTTAACAAAATGAGCTTTATTTACCTGTAGCAGAGAAAGGACATCTAGCCAAGGACGTGATGGATTCATCAGGTGCATCTTCCCTCTTTTGTTGGCCGTGATGGTCTGCTGGTCAGAAGCCAGAAAGGAGGAGTCTCTCCAAGGAGACTCTTCATGGGATGGCTTTTTTCTTTTCATTTAGGCCACAAAGAACGTATGTCACTAGCCCAAACCTTCATTCACTCACCCAGTTAAGCCTTGAGTACAATTTCAATACTTCTAAAGGAAAAATTAGCCTGACTGCTTGGAGTTGTTTCTACAATTGTCCTCAAGGGCGAATTTATCTTTCCTATAGTTGTATCCCCAGCAATTAACACAGTGCCTGTCACATATTAACATCATAGCAGCTTAATAAATGCCTGTTTATCTCTGTATCTATCTAATAATTGTTCATGTTCTTTCGCTTCTGCTTACTTTATTTTGCGCCAGTTTTACATGTCCCTTGTTTCTCTGAATTTCTCATGTTCATCATTTTTTATACCGCATTAATATTCCGTTACATTCATATCCCACACTTTGTTCACTATTCCTCCAACTGATGGCCACTCGGCTTTGTTTCGAGTTTTATGCTGCCACAAAAAAGTCTTGCTGTGAATATTTGGGTATACTTCGGTTGCTTTCCCAAACTAAGGCCATTCCATTTGGCCCACACTGTTATGAATAAAAGTTGGAAAATGCCCAAAGGCTGATTCATTGAGTACAGTGACCAAGTGACCAAGCGTAAGTGCCAAGGGAATAGTCAGATGTTGTAAAGAGAAGTAGCCCTCAAAGCTCACTTGCCTTCATCAGCAGGCCTTCTTCTCCCATCCACCACTGCTCATTCCCCATTGGTTAATAAACTTCCACCCCTTCCTACTCTCCCAATCCCTGTGATACTGAATCCCCAGCTGAATTGCACTGTTCTTTCACTGCAGAAAGGATTGGGTCCTGTTACCACGGTTTCCATGAACTCTCTCAGGATCTGTACTTTAACTGGAGAAACTGTACTCTGATTAAACTAAGCTCTTCTCATTTGCCCAGGGATGTAATACTAGGGAATTCCTGCATCATAATGAAATGCAAATAAGGTTGAGCCAACTCAGTTATTAATAGCTGTGAATTCCCAGGATTTGGAGGCAATTCAACAACCAACCAGCTGTTGCTTTGCAATGGTAGCTGAGCTGTGGGCTGGGCCCTGGGGGATATTTCCCTAAAATAATTAGTTCTTCACTTGCCTGCTTTGTCATCCCTAATTCTGAGGGGTAGAATGGAAGGAAGGACAGATATGGAATAGGAGTTGTCTCTGGAGCAAAGAGGGCTGGAGAAGACACAGGAGGGCAGGCATTCATCAGGGTTTTTTTTGGTAGATTATTCCACTCTCTTTTCCCTGGTATTCCATTAGGGAAGAAACTGTACTCATTAAGAATAGAGAAGGCTTAGGAAGAAAAGCTTCTGTTCAGTCCTAGGAGAAAAATGGTTTTTAAGATGCTGTCTTACCCTCCCCTGTGATGTTTGATGGACTGTGAGATTGTAAAATGAGCCTATCCCACATTGAAGATGGGGCACAGGGAACAGTACAGTTATTTTATTTTTGTGCATCTTCAAACATGCAAAAAACAGTAAGTCTTTATGGAATCTTTTACTATGTGAGGTATTTGGCACACATAGAAGAGCACGGATTGAATTGTGCTCTCAAAGAACTCCTGTTATGATAGGAAAGACAACATAGGCACATAGGTTGAATGAAATTGTAAACTCTCTGCCATTGACTAAGTGTAAAAATGACTCCTATAGCCATGTCAAGGCTAGCTAGGTGGTGCAGTGGATATAGTGTGGAGCAGGGGTGGGAAACCTGTGGCCTTGAGGCCACATTGGGGCCCTCCAGGTCCTCAAGTGCAGCCTTGTGACTGAATCCAAACTTCACAGAACAAATCTCCTTAATAAAAGGATTTGTTCTGTAAAACTTGGACTTGGTCAGAAAGCCGCACCTGAGGACCTAGAAGGCCACATGTGGCCTTGAGGCCTCAGGTTCCCCACCCCTGGTGTAGAGCCTGGAGTCAGGAAGACTTATCTTCCTGAATTCAAAT